TAGCGCCGTTTCTAGAAGGGCGCTACTACTATACCTAGCACGTCGGGAACGGTGTGGCAATTATAGTAGTAGTGCGTTCAGTTCCTGCCGCGCTACTGCTAAGGGGGTAACGGTAGCGCGGTTTTGGCAGACGCGCTACTGCTAATTAGCAGCCTCATTTTAACACGCGCTACTGGTAAGATTCTGTGTATAAGATTTTCCCTAGTAGTGTTACAGGGGGTGCGAATCCTTGTCCCAGAGGAGGGGGGTGGCTTATATAGAGTGCGTCAGGACCTCAGTCGTCCTCCATTACAAGGGGTTTAATGTACATAAAGTCTGGGCGTTACTGGTAACGTCGGCCTTAAGTGCTATTAATGATCTTAAAGACTACGGAGTGAATCCCTGACCGTTACAGCATTGAGTGACTCCTGGCCTTCGGCATGGTCGAGTGACTCTCCATATGGTCGAGTGACGGTAGGGAGGAAGACCTCCGAGTGATGTGGCTGTCGAGTGGATTGCACTCGACGTGTACAACCGGGGCTCTCCTGTTGTCTCTTGGTCCTTTTATATTCCTGGGTAGTGACCTTGGGTAGGGCGTATAGGTCAGGCCTATGACCCTACCCCAGGTCTGTATCCTCATCACCCCCTCACGGACAGCGCCGTCGCCGGCACCTGGAGGGCGGAAACAACCGCATCGGGTCTATACGGAGGGGACATTGCTCCCAAGTGTTTCTATGGGATGACCTACCACAATCGGGTGGTGTTGTGGCATGTTCGAAGAGGCGGCACACATCTCCGGGGTGTGGCCCCCCTCACAGACGGCGCCGCCACCGGCACCTGGATCTGCGTCTGCCTAAAGCAGCTTCCTTGGGGCTGAATATTGCGCTGCTGCATGACTGTTTCTCGACCCCTCCATTCATGTTCATCGATGCTACTGCTTGGGGGTCTCATGCTCGTGAAAGGGGCGGTGGTGGCGCAGGCAGAGGCGGAGCCAGGATTTAGACATAGGGGGGGCGAGGCAACAACGAAGCCCAGAAATTTTTGTGTCTCACAAACTACAGAAGAGTTTTTATATCCAGATATCACTACCGATCGGGCAGGTCTAGCTATAGGTTTAAGAAGAACATGACCAATCATGTATAACTAAACAGCAGGATTTAGCTTGCGTTCATATAGTTTTGAATTGAAAGTCAATCACTGCTTGGGACACCACTTACATTTACTTGATATACTTGATATATGTCAACGCAAACCTACATAAGCATATAGAATCAATATGTAGTATATTAGAAAAAAGTGAGCAGCGTCTCAAGAATACATACCTTGCTAGAGTATCAACTCCAGCCCCGGCAATCCCTCAGAAAAGAAATCAAATCCAGCCCCGGCAATCCCTCAGAAAAGAAATCAAATCCAGCCCCGGCTCGTCCGGAAAAATATTATATGAGACCAGGTCTCATATAAAGCAGGTGAGACCCGCCCTGATGGATGACACGTGGCATTCACAAATCACAAAGCATCTAATCT